GCTGCCATATGTTGTTAAAATGCAACCCATATTTTAAAGTCTTCATAATATGATCCTTCCCCTCTTTTCTTACATGCTTTGAAATGGTTAACAATGTGAACGTGTCAACACTTGAAGCATTATCCTGGGCTTCTGAGCCAGTAGCAATTGAATTTAAAAAGGCAGCTTACACAACAGAGCTATTGTTTCAGGCTATCACTTTGATGGCTTTCTCTGAAGCCATACCAGAGACTTTATTTTTTTCAACAGAAAGTTGAGAGTCAAAGTCTGGAGAGTAATTGAGAGCTCCTGCCACCCACAGCCCCTCCCCGCAACTAGTCCCTGCCATTCCCCTTCCTTACCTCCATCTATTCCTCCTGCAGTGTGCAGTTTGGGAAACACTGCTGAATGATTAACGGTGTCCAATGTCAAACAAATTCTCTCTCAGATAAAGGTGAAAGGTTATGCAACATAGACCAGCAGCAAGATTGGGAATCAGGAGATCTGGATTCTGTCCCTGGCAGAGATTTACTTGTAAAAGTCAGTCTGCCTCTCCGTATCTCAGTTTCCCATGTATAAAAAGTGGATAACAACCCATCCTCTTTTGTAAAGCTCTGTGAATGGGTGGAGGTGGGGAGCTCTACATAAACCCAGCAATTCTTTAGTTACTTTCAAGACTTTTCAATAAAGCACTTTAAAGAATCATTCCAAACTAGATGCAGGCTCAGCAGTAAAATGCAGGTCTGACTCCAAATCTAGATCCAAAGCTCAAGGCTCTTGGTATCTAGAGTTCTGGTCTAAGCCCGTCACTATCTCAAATTTGCACAGAAATCAAAGCCCCCTTTTCATTCTTTCATGAGTTCTAATCAGTTTACAAGTTTATTTTCTGCTGCATGCTATGATAATGTCCTTGTTTCTCTGTGATTCTACAGCGTGTTCCCGATTTCACACCCGGAAAGCTGTATCTAAAACTGTTTGTCGTCCAGCATCTGCTGATGGCAAAACCAAAGAGACAGAGCCACTTGCTCCTAGTGAACCTACAGTGAAGTTAACGCTGTTAGAAGTTCCGCCTATCAACCTCGAACCGGATCACAGACCTCTAAACCATGAGGAAATGGAGGAAATTGGAAAGAGATGGAAAGAGAGGAAACGATGTGAGAAGGTATTGCGCATCTGCAGAAAAATTATTCATTTGCTTATGCTTTGCATTTCAGGCCTTCCCATGTGTCTGACAGATTGAGGATGAAATAGCAGTTTATAAAAACCAAACCAAACCAAGGGCTTATAATGTCAATATCGAGATGATTAGTAATTTTTTGTATATAGCACCTTCCATCTGATGCTCTCCCTTTATAAACAACTAACAAATTTACCCAGCATTGCTTGGGTCCTTTTTTTTGGGCGGGGGAAAGGGGGTAAAAGGAAAATTCATACCAGGGATGCTTGCTCTTCCCTGTCGTGTCCCTGTCAGGGAGCAAGGGCAAAGTGCACAGCTCATTTGCCCCCTCTGCTTCCCAGCCAGGAGGAATACAGCAAACTGCACTTTCCCCTTGCTTCCTGACAAATGGGAACAGCCAGCAATGTCCCCATATGAATTGGGAGGAGGAGACCTTCAGTCCCTCCTGTCCTTCCTAAAGAGCACCCCGGTGTGGGGATGGGAGGCTTGGGGCTAAGGCAGTCCCCAGTGGGGGGAGGGGCATGCCTTCAGCCAGCCCCTTTCGCCTGCCTGGTGATTCTGTCTCTTTTTTGTACGGTTTTATGAGAAGCAACCCCATTCCAGGCACAACCAAACCCTTACCTTGGAGATAATAGGAAGCTGTAATACTGAATGTGGTGGTCATAGCTCTTACCATTTAGGAGGAGTTCTTCAACACACAGACAGACACTCTGAAATATATAATAGATTAATTTTGCCTCCAACACTTTGAGGGATAGGCATTGTATTCCCTTTTACAGAGCAATAAAAAGAGGCACGGATAAATGTATTTGATTAGCATGCCCCAGAATGGAAAGACCTTTCAAAGTCATCTTGTCCATCTCCTCACCAAAAGAGGATTAGTCCCTAGAGCTTATGGGATATTTGCAAACAGTTTTTCCTGTCTTGTTTTCTATGTATCCCACAGCTGGATTCACAACGAGTCCATAGCAGAGTTGGGAATAGAACTCACGAGTTCTGGCTCCCAGAGCTTTGTGCTCTAACCATTAGGTAACACTGCTGCTGGGAGAAGTTCTTTTTAAAAAATTCAAGCAACATTGGCCCAGCTGTTTGTCTCTTCTGAAACTAATAATTTCACCTGCCAGTGTTTGATTAATCTGGGGTGCATATATTGTAATGTAAATTAGTACTAAAGACATTCCAAGAGAAAGGGAAACAACAAAGTCTCAATTTTTCAAAAGAATTCTGAAAAATACGACCAACCACTATGTCTCCTAGTGCAAACTCTTGTGCAGTTCACTGCTGTGCAGACAACTAATGCACCACTCCAAAGGGGGCTTATGCAGGACATGAGTGGCGCACAGGCATTGTACTGACCCTCTCACAAAATGGATTTAATCCACAAACTGGTGCCTGTGCTCATGAAAATATAGTTACTCATTTTACATGCACAGAATTCCATTTGTACACGCATAGCTTCACTGAGGTGAGTGGAATTATACCAGGGATTCATTTGGCCGTGAAAATATTCTAGCCAACGACACAAATGAGAACCTGACCTTAACTTGCAGATCAAAGTCAGTCCAATACAATGGATGGAACGCTGTCGGCTGGTGAGATCTGGAAACAATGCCATCGATGAACATTGTTTGCCATCAACAATGGAGAGCGAAATAGGAGAAATAATTGATAAACATCGCAGGACCATCTACATGGTCTATCTGCAGAGTCTCAAATTATGCAATGAATATAACATTCCACTCACCGAAAAGGTACTGGAAAGAGGTAAAGCAAAACCTTGGGGTTGGTGTAAATGTGCTACCTCAGAACAATTCAGGCTAAGCTTTGTCCCCCAGCTCAGATGCATGGCAGCTGGCTTTTCTGATCTCTCTCAAACAGTGTTCCCTCTAATGTTTCCCCCCCCTGAGTGGAATGAATTTTCTCATGTGCCCCAGTGTGGAGGTGACATGTGACACAGGTGATGTGAGACACATCACTGTCATATTGGTGCACATAACAAAATTCATGTGACAGGTCTTGGACCAAGGGATTCTGAGTGTGGGAGGGGATTCAGGTGCTGGGGCAGAGGGCTGAAGTGTAGGCTCTTGCTAGCGGTGCAGGCTCTAAGGTGGGGCTAGGATTGAAGGGCTCAGGGCTGGGACAGAGGGTTGGGGGTACAAGGGCTCTGCCGGGGTGTGTGTGCGGACTCTGGGGTGGGGTTTGGCATGAGGAGTTTGGAGTGCAAGAAGAGGTACTGGCTCTGGGCTGGGGGTTGGGCTGTAGGTACAGGCTTTCAGCTGGGTTTGTGAGCTTTGGGGTAGGGACAGATATGAAGGCTTTGGGGTGCAGGAGGGTGTTCAGGGCTGAGGAGGCTCAAGATGGGGCCAGGAGTTGGTGCTCGGGCTTATCTGGGTGGTTCCATGGTGGGGTGGCAGAAAGGGGCTCCCTTCTGCCAGCCATAGCTGCAGGGCTCTGCCCCACCAGTTTCAGGGTTTGGGGAGAGGCATCTCCCCTGGCTGCAGCCCTGAGCCCCAGCATGGAGCTTAATAGCTCCTGCACACAGCTTTGAGGTGTATTTGCAGTTCTGTGTAGAGCAATAGGACTAGTACAGCAGCAGATGCTTCTGGTTAGAATTAAAATACATGGGCAGTACTAGGGAAGAATTGGAATAGCAAGGGGTGCACCAGATCAGGATTGAGGGGATTGAGATAGAGCAGTGTTAAGAGATTCCAGGTCAACATAGCAGGTGATACTGCAGGTGAAGACAAGAGATGGACTGGCACATTTGGGATGGAGCAGGACTGGGTGGAGTGGGGGCTGCAAGTCAGGACTGAAGAGCATCTGTAAATTAAATTTGGAGTTAGCTTGCACTATGCCTAATGCCAACCATTTCTGCTAATTCCTCACTTCACTGAGCACATAATCCATTCAAAATGTGTAGCAGGCCACATGTCATACAGTTATTACTGCTTTGGTTTTCTTGTGTTCTTTGCTGACAGCCCTGCTGTACCCAGGAGACAAAATAATAAAAGAAGGTGCATATGTGCGGAAGATCAGACAGCCAGGGGGTCCCTATTCAACAGTGGATGGAAGTCGCCACCAAAAGCAACTGCTTTTAAGCAGACAAGGATTAAAAGGGGATGCCAAAAATGGGTTTGTTCAAAGAGTTTTTACTGTAGTGGACCACTTAGTGACCTATAAACCAATAGCAACTTATCTCCGAGCAACAGTATGGCCTAGCCTTAGTGGCCAAAACCCAGGATTGAAAGTCATGAGACCAGGACTGTTTCCCAATTTTTCCCACTGATCTGCTGTGTCACCTTGAGTAAATCACTTCACTTTTCTGTTCCTGTATTTCTCTTCTTGCTCTTTGTCTATTTAGAATGCAAGATCTTTAGGGCAGAGACTTGGTACATGCCAAAAGCTAACACAATGGTATCCCAGTCTTAGTTTAATTTAATAATAATTAATGGGGATGCTGGTATTACATCAGTAGGTATGATTTAGGAGGAGTGGGCAAGCAGACAAAAGTTACTAGTTTTGGTTGGGGGTGGGAGTTTTCCTCTAGCTAAAGTATCTCTTAAAAGGCAGGTGAACAGATGACACTGTTTGTTTTAAGTATGCAGCAAGCAGATTCCACTGCTGGTCCTGTATTCTAGTGTCCATGAGACACAAGGGAAAGTTGCACACACAGTGTGCCCAATTCTCCTTTTACTGATACTGGTTTGACAACAGTGTAAATCAGAGTAACTCCACTGAAGTCAACTATTTGCGTGCATGTTTGTAAAGAAGAATCAAGTTCAGTGAAAGGAAATATTCCTGCTCCCATCTTGTGATTCATTCCACTTAGCCTAAACCTCATTTTGCTGGCCATTCTGTCAAGACACAATACAGCACCCAATATGATATGTAGCTGTATTGGGATGAAATATGTTTAGAGGCAGCCTAGGATAAGTTCAGAACAATGAATGACCAGATTCTCCTCTCAGTTACACTGATGACAATGTGGCTGGACTGGTGTCAATGTGAGTTATGTATAAAAACAGGACTATTGCTACTTACTCACCTATTTCACAGGGGCATTGTGAGGATTATTTTATTGATGTCTGTACAGTGCCTTGAACTTACCAAGTGCTATACAGATGTTAAGTATCCCTACGTACCATGATGATGGATGCAGTGTAAAAACCTGAATGTACAATTACCTATTCAACACCTTTCCCCACTGCATTATTTTTATGTAGCTCCATCTGATAATTACATCTGATAATTTACCGACATGTAGAAAGACAAGGAAAGTTTCCCCAAGAGTTTCCAGTTTGTTGATTGAGATCTCTACCAAAGTATATTCACTGTTTGAAATGATGCCTATTTTGTCTTTCCTGACAGACTGCGTGGTACAGGGATTAAGAGGCAACTATACGGAAACCAGAAGGCATACAGAGGCAGTGAGATGTCATTTGATGATTATGAACAGTTAACAAGGTCTGTGCAGAGAATGGTTTAGTCCATATACAACAGTGAAATAGTGCCAAAACTCAGTAAGAAATTCCAAGAAAGAAAATCCAGGCAGGAATCCAATCAACAATTCTCCAACACAACCCAAAATAACATTAGGCCATAAGAACTTTCCTTTTCTTTGACACAAGTGACCAGACCTAACACAGAAGGGCAACACTTAAGGTTATAGTCAATGTTTATAAAGAAGTGGCGGTAAAGACAAACCACCTTGGATGTGCAGATCCTAGAGGCGTTAGAATAGGAATCCAAATACCACCCAAATTAATTCAATGACAAAACATCCAGGCCCAAGTGGCAGACAATTTATTCTCCTAGATCCTGCAAATAAGAGCTATAGGGTCCACTTCTTAATCAGAGAAGTCCTTGGGTTATTTACTCAAATATTCTTTGACGCAGAAGGCAAGCCAGCAGATAAGAGTCCTGCACTGGAAATTAGGGATGTAAATATTCATCAAAACAGTTAACCTGATAAATTATTAAAATTATATAATTTAACTAGTTAACCATTGGTGGGAGCAGGGCAGATTGGGGGGGTGGTCTTACTATTGCGGCAGAATCCAGATCCACTGGGCCGGAGCTATGAGAGACAGGACTGCAATCCTGGGCCAGGGCCATGGTGGAGCAGCCAGGAGCCGCAGCCACGGGAGCGGAGGCTGCAGCATGGTGGGGAGCCAGAGGAGCCAGGGCCACAGCACGGCTGGGACCCAGGGCCAGGGGAGCTGGGACCGCCTGCCATACAGCCCCACCTGCCACCCTGACCTCATGAGGTTCCTGTCAAACAGCTCCACACAACTGGCAGTTCAGTTAATCAGTTACCAAGTAAGCATTCTAGTAAGCCTAATGCTTACCAGGTAAACAGTTAACCAATTAGCCTTTTATATTCCCACTGGAAATGTTATTGAACATGTCGATACCACTTTAAACTAGGTGCTATGAAATCAGAAATAAGCATCTCCAGTCAGTACTGATTGGAGAATGGGTTGGTTTGTTTTTTACGCCCTTAAAATTTTGATGAGAAAAAGATTTTCATTTATCTGAAAACAAAAACAAACAGCAAATGGAAATACTGCCATAGCATCTCATGGGAGCTGTAGTTCAGATGCTTCAAGACTCTATTCCCTGCCTGGTCTACATCTACCATGATGCTCTAGAAGATTATGCAGGCTTGCTATGCGGCCAGTCCTTTGAACACAATGGTGGCATGAGGCACCTGAACTACTGCTTCCAGAGGGCACCATGGTAACATTTCCAAATTGAAATTTTGGGTTTTCAGATTAAAACTTCTACATTTTGGGGGGGGGGGAGGCGTTTGGGGGATAAGTTGAATTTTTTTGCACAAAGCAGATACTTTTTGGGGGGGTAGGTTTAGCTGAAAGCCCAATTTTCTGTCAAACAGTTCCAGTGGCAATTTTTTTAATAGCCTCGCTGTCAGGTTTCTATAATTGGGGGAGTCCCTTATGATGTCCTGAGGGAAAGGGGCTTCTTCATCTTACATGTGGACTTACAGGTATAGTTTCTGAGTGCCTTCTGGTATAGGAATCCCTGATAGTGACATATGTATCTTATCTGGGTTACTATAGTGAGCCAACTATAAAAGACAATTCAGCACTTGGATAGGAGACCTTCCAGGAAAATTTGACAAAAAGTGATGTTGGTGAATCAGTAGATGGCATTTGTCTTTCCTGTCAATACAAACCCATTACTCCTGTGTCATACTAAGGGGCCTAAGCTGCTGGAGATGCCTCTCTTTGGGTCATCCTACTTGTGGCTGTTAAATCCCCTAGCACTGTTCAGAAGAGCAGGGATATTAACTCTGATCTCCTGTCCAGTTTAGTAATTGCATCCAGTGGTTTGGTTTTATTTTCTGTGGGCCAAATCCTGAAGTTCTTACACAGCTTGTACTTACTTCTTAATCAGGTGCACTAACTTCCCTATGCGTTATACCTGATTATACTGACCAAGAACTTCAGAATTTTGTCCCATATAAATACATATAATTGAATACAATTCAGTTTGCATTTTCCTGGGGTTTCCTTTCAGTATGTGGCTCTCTGCCATTTTCTGTTCTCGGCTTTTCTGCCATGTTTCAGCCGACACATCTCACCCCACAATTGGCTGCATTTCAGTGATGATGAAAGAGATTCCTGGGCAGTGAATCTAATTACTTGAGCATTTGGTTTCTTTAAGTGAAAGGCATTATATAAGCATGAGATTGATTATTTAACTCATATTTTCCAGGCATCTGCATATGAAGTGGTCCAATCTGAGCTGCAGGTCTAATGACAATAACTTCTGGCCAGGTCACCTTCTGGACAAGCTGCGTATTTATCTCCCCCAGATAAAGACTAATCAGGAGCATGCCCTGTTCAGCTATATTCATCCAACACCACCTGCCTATCCTGGTATTTACAACCCACACCACAGCTGGCCAGTCAGTGACCAGGGATACGTGACCTATGGAAACACTGACACTCAAAAGTATTGATGTTGTCTGGGACAGTAATGCTGTATGTGATGAAAGCTCTGTGATTCCTCAGTCACCTCCATGGAGTTAGGCCACCATCATGAACAAAATAAAGCTATCAAAGCCAAAAAAGTACACATTCAATTCAAAGCTAGAGCAAAGTTGTGCAGGACTTGATAGACCAGCATTCCTCAAAGTGGCCCAGGCCACGCTGCTTCCCACAGTTCCCCTGGGCTGGAAATGACAAATCAGAGCCAATGTTTACCTTTGGGTAAACAAAGTGGCATGGGCCCACTAAGAGCTTTCCCAAATAGGCCCATGGCCCACTTTCAGGAACACTGGGATAGACAATGAAATACAGAAACAAAATACAGGACTATGTAGCACTTTAAAGACTAACAAGATGGTTTATTAGATGATGAGCTTTTGTGGGCCAGACCCACTTCCTCAGATCAAATAGTGGAAGAAAATAGTCACAACCATATATACCAAAGGATACAGTTAAAAAATGAACACATATGAAAAGGACAAATCAAATTTCAGAACAGAAGGAGGATGCAGGGGGAGGAAAGGGAAGGTAAATGTCTGTGAGCTAATAAAACTCATCATCTAATAAACCATCTTGTTAGTCTTTAAAGTGCTACATAGTCCTGTATTTTGTTTCAGCTACCCTAGACTAACATGGCTACATTTCTATCACTAATGAAATACAGAGCAGCTTTCTTCTAGATTGTCAAGTTTCTGATTCTTGTGACTCATAACACAGGACCTGGGGACATTCAATGAAACTGAAAGGTGGCAAAGTCAAAACTAATAGTTTTGCACATATGTAATTAGACTGTGGAACTCATCACCACAAGACATTGATGATGCTAAAAATTTAGCACAATTCAAAAAGGGATGGACCATTCATAAAGATAAACAAGAATATCTAAACTTATTACAACTCTAACCTAAGTTGAAGGTCAGACTATTCCACATCCACTTACTGTAGAATTTCTTATGCTTTCCACTGAAGTACCTAGTAGTAACCACTGTCCGGACAGTAAACTACACTCAGATCTGACTGAATCTGGCAATTCCTTTGTTTTTGTGAATCAAATTCAGCTCTTTGGTGACCCATGTAAAAAGTACTTGGCAAGTCCCAGTTAGGGATGTGAATTGTTAACCGGTTAAACAGCAAGCCACATCCTTAATGGGTGAGGCTTACTGGTTCCGGTTAACAGGTGGGGGTTGGAGCAGCTCTCTGCCCCCTATGGGCAAGAGGCTGCTTCAGCCCCATGGGGCCTGCTGTGGGCAGGCAGAGTAGCCCCTTTTGGCAACGGGCCTGGTCCAGGCATGCCACAGGCAGAGATACTCCAGCTCAGCCAGAGCAGCCCTTGTCCGCAGCCGGGAGAGGGCCGCTCCAGCCCAGCCAGGCTAGAGCAGCCTCCCTACCATTCCTCCTTTAATCGGTTAAACATTACATTAGAACATAAGAATGGCCACACTGGGTCAGACCAAAGGTCCATCCAGCCCAGTACCCTGTCTGACGACAGTGGCCAATGCCAGGTGCCCCAGAGGGAGCGAACCAAACAGGTAATGATCAAGCGATCTCTCTCCTGCCATCCATCTCCACCCTCTGACAAACAGAGGCTAGGGACACCATTCCTTACCCATCCTGGCTAATAGCCATTAATGGACTTAACATGTAATTTAACTGGTTAACCAAATAAATGGGATTTTACATCTCTTCCTAGTCCCAGTCTGGTTCCCACGGGCAGATAGGTCCAAGTCACAAAAACTGCCATCACAACTAGCTCCACTTTATAGGATGGAAGAGTGAGTGGACCGTGATGACTAAAATAACCTGCCATACCCTTAGAGGTCAGAGTCAAGGCACATGGGTGCAGGAGACAAGGAAACTTGCCCTCTTTCTGCCCACACTGCACCTTTTCTGTGGATTTCAGGAGGATTCGGGTTTCCATGATGAAAATATCTTGATGATGGACCAACATTTGAAACCTGCTAATTTTCTAACAGCCTGGGAACACTGGACCATGAGAGAAGGAACACTGGTTGTTGGGACACTGGTCCTACCCTGGTCCCATTGAGAATACTGATGGGCTCTTTAAGTGCCATCGGCTCAGCCAGAGATGTGAGTAGAGACCCCAGTTTAATTTAAGAGGTTTATTTAAATAAATAATTTTACCTTTCTCTTCCCCTTGCAAATCAAACAAATCCCTCAGAGAAGGGTAGTTGATTTGAAAACATTTTTCAACAGCAGGTTCTTATGCAGAGTTTTCATACTATTTGGAACACATATTTTAGCCATTCATTTTTTAACTGTATCCTCTTTCTTCAAAACACAGTACATGGAGCAGTCAAATGGAATTTGGTTACCTAATTTTTAGAGTTTTTTCAGTAACATGGGATATGGTTATTTAGCTGTGTTGTATAAAATTTAACCAAGCAGTTCCAGGCATAAAGATCTTTCACTGAAAATATTTATGAACAGATTGCAGATTGGACCTCCCCAGTCTAGCACCCTCGGGACCTGACCAGTTCCAGATGAAGGATATTGCCGACCAGGAAAGGTAATTTCTGGCTCCTTTCTGCCAGTGGCCCTCCCAGTCTCCCTGCCAGCTTCTTCCTGCCTGCTGGCCCCTCAGTGCAGGGCTTCCGGCCTCACTGTGGCAGCCCCGCCGCCGCAAGCACAGCCCCACTGCTGGGCTCCTGCCCCCACAGAGCAGCCCCCCTACTGAGGTCTAGCTGCGCCGCTGGGCAGCAGCCCTGCTTGGACTTCAGCCCTTCTGGGCAGCCCCACTGCCTCCCGGCCTCGCCATGAAAATCTGCCAGGCAGCAGCGGGGCTGCCAGACTCTTTGCTGTGCCGTGGGGCAGCCCCGCTCCTGGGTTCCTGGCCCCTCTGGTAGGCAGCCCCGCAGTTGGGCTCCTGGCCCTGCAAGGCAGCCCCGTCCCCTCCAGGCAGCTGTACTGCTGGGCAGCAGAGGAGCTGGTGGGCTCCTGGCCCCGCAAGGCAGCCCTGTTGCCTCCTAGTCCCCTCCAGGCAGCTGTGCTGGTGGGCTCCTGATTGTACTGCTGGATGGCCCTGCTGCCAGGATCCCAGCCCCACCAGCAGGCAAACCCACTGCCTCCCAGTCTTATGGGGCAGTTTCACCACTGGGCAGCAGCCCCATTACTAGGCTCCAGCCTGCCAGGCAGCCCCACTCCCTCCCATGCCATGTCGCCACCGGGAGGCAGCCCTGCTGCCGGGCTCCTAGTTTTCCTGCGACAGGGCAGCCCTGCTACTGGACTCCAGCCTCGCTGCAGGGCTTCCAGCAACAAGCCCTTCATAAGACTCTCTGGTCCTGAAACATCCCTGATCCGGAAGCTGTAGTCAATAGAAAAGTTTTAAAACACTGGCCTCTGGATGTCATGCACCTCAAAGTACAGGAGATCCTCGTGATTCACAGAATCTCTGTTCATGGTTCCACATATTCACAGGTCTCCTGTCCTGACCTGGGGGGTAGGGATGTTAAATTTCAATAAATCAGCTAATTGAGTAGTCGATGGAATTTCCGTTAAGGGGAACACGCACTATCCCACTGTGCCTCTCCCTTTGAAATGGACAAGAGTTGCCTTTGTACATTCCAAAGGGAGAGGAGCAGAAGTGGGCACCGGCGTGAGCGAGACTGTTTCAACCCCCACTTGTGCCATTTCCCTGCTGCCCTCTGCCTCACCTGCCCCCTGCAGAGATGGTGCTGGGGGGAAGGAACTGGTTTGTGCACCCCCCCCCCTTTTCCTGCCTCTGTCTGATAGAGGCAGCAATTGAGGGGAGGAGCAACCAGTCAAGTTCCTACTCGACTACCCAATAAGCATTTATTTATCAAGTAGTCGACTAGTTGCTTACATCCCTACTGGAGGGGAGGGGTCAGGAGCCACGGTGAGTTCCCTGCAGCTCCCAGTCCCCTTGGCAAGTTCGGAAGTCGCAGGGAGCTCACCGCCGAGGCCTAGAATGCATCTCTCAGTATTTGTGAATTTCAGCATCCACCACAGATGGTGAGGGTTTCCTGTACTGTGAATAGCTGGTGTCAATCCAAAAAGTATAGTTACAAAAATGACTCAAAAATAAAAAACAAGTTTTTATGCATTAAATTGTGTCTTTATTAATGAGGGGGCGGGAGGGAGGGAGGCAAAGGAGATAGTTGTCCCAGGGCCCGGTGGTTCAAAGGGACCTATGTTCCTGGCTGCTGCTTGTGCTACTGCCATCTGGAGCATCGCGCCGTACTCTCCAGACTAGGAATGTGAACCCGTACCCATGTACGTGACTAACTGATGAGCCTGGGCTCACCAGTTAATCCTAACGGTCACAGGCAACCCTTCCCTCCCATGCCTCTGCACCAGAGGTGGGAGGGGGGCAGGCGAGAGCCGGTATGCACGTGGAGCCGGCTCTTAAACTGGCTCCCGCAGAACCACCTGTCCCCCATCCATGACAGTGCTACCTTCCACTGAGACTCTGGCCTTTGAATATATGAAACAATACATGGGTTTATTATATTGTTCAGTCACTGGTCACATAACAAACTTGGAGAGTTTAAAATTCTAGCTGCAATGTCCTCTGAGCAGGATGAAAGCACTTGTTGCATTGCTGAGTGACCACAAGAAAAATTCAATAGAATGTATCAGCATGTGTCAGTACTGATCTGGCCTTAGTGGAACATTAACTCATGACCAGCAGCACAGCTGGAATGATGTGGGACCAGAAGCAAATGATCTTTCCTGCATCTTGTGGTGTGCTGATATTTTAACAGAAAATTACAAAGTATTAAAATCCCAAGAGATTCCAGAGTGCTTTGCAGGTACCAAGATGGCATTATCTGCTACCACTGAAATACACCAGCCAGTTGGTGGTGGTGGTCTTTACAAGTTCTCTGTCTGTGCTCCTCTAATAACCCTTGCTCCACACAGAGCTTAAATACATAATTAGGATCCCCTATATGCAGATCCTTAAATGTAAGTGTGTGAGTGGTTCTATTAATTTCCCAGGGTCTACGGAGTTTAAATTAAAACAGATACAAAGTGCTTGCAAGGCTGGAACCTAGAAGATTTAGAACAGATTTAGAATGGGCAACCCATTAAACAAAGAGAGCCCAATCAGCGGCAGAAAAAAATGCGAAGAGCCACACCAGACATTTTTTTTGAGCAATTTTTGTTGAAAAGAGCTCCCCACCAGCCCCCCAGAATTGTTGAGAAAAAACAGAACAAAAAAACAACGCAGCAGACGGCTCCCCTGTACCGGTGAGCACAGGGAGCCAGGGGCCAGGGACCATTTCTAGAGACACGGGGCTGGCTTCGCAAGCTGTGGGGAAGGTTTCTCAAGCTGCACTTTAAGAGGGGAAAGAGCTGTATGCGGCTCGCAAGCCCCGGGTTGGCCACCCCTGATTTAGAATATCCATGCAGGAGAGAAAAGAGAGAGGATCTTATAAAAATATGATACAATCTTCAGACAAGCCGAGAAGGGTATAAATAAGGATTGTGAAAAAGTATAAACAGAAAAAGGGTTTTCAAAGACTTGCTAAGCTATACGTCTAAGAACAACAGTGCCCCACATAAGTTCCTGTTTAGAATCCATTGACTAATTTCATTTTATGGTTTCAGCCCTATTAGAGTAGGTAGTGGGACCTCCCTTATCCATCCTGTCAGAAAGGCAGCAAATAGCCTCTTGTGACCTACTGACTTAATTCAGCCATATGGGGTAAACTCACACTAACTAAAATTATTAGAAAAAATACCAATTTCTTCCTTTGTTGGTAACCTGTACTGACTCTCAAATTCTTCCTATTTTTAGGCAAGGAACTAAAGGATACATTTTTACCACTAGAATTTCAAGGGCAATGAAGGAACATAGCATGCAGTTACTCTTCCTCCATGTGTTTAAATCCCCAGGCCAAAGAGCTAATCTTGAGATAAATGCCAGGTGGTTTTTAATGATCACATGGAGCCCAAACTTCCCAGATTAGTTTTACATCCTGTCCAAAAATATCACTAATTTGTATGATCCAAATGTCAGGACTGAAACCTAAATTAAACACAAGAAAATTAAACAGGTGAGCAATGTAATAAACTTTTAAAGCTTTTTTTTATTTTAGGGCCTAGTTTTGGATAAACATGCATGAGCAGACACCTCTAATTTGGAGCCCTTTTGACTTCACTGAAGTTTGGCATAAATATACATACAGAGTTTATCACAGGTGTATTGACGACAGTATTGCCAACCCCAACCATCTAAAAACCATGAGTAGTGCACCCCAGAAATGAGATTTGGTCAAATAATTTTTAGGTACTCTTAATTTGACTTTTCATTTTTTGGGGACTTTAGAGTGCACTTTAGAGTGTACTTAGTTTTTTAAACTTTTTAAACATCTCTTAAATAAATTAAAATCTATATATATTTTAGGAATTGCAGCTTTGAGAAAAGCACCAACAGTTTACATACTGTGATTAAAAATAGCAAAAGTTGACAACACTAGCAAGAAACAGATATTTAAGAAATATTGTATGTGAGATCTTCCATAAAAACTAAGAAAAATACTATTATTTATGTTAAAATATCCCTCAGTATTATTAGATGCATTTTAATAGCTTAGTATGGGTGTTCCTATTAATATTACATTATAAAAATACTAATTTTGTAAAGCAATGTTCTATGTAACCAACAATGAATATTTAGTGCTTTGCTACCTGACAATTTCCCTTGAAGATATAGGAACGTTGTTAATTAATTCAATGAAAAAATAAATAAGTTAATACAGACCAAAACACGGTTAATTGTCCTTGGGTGCCATGGCCCATGCCATCTGTGGCATCAACGCTACAGTACCCGAAACCTGCCACTAGATGGCTCTCAGGCATTGGCCGTATTATTGGCGGAAGTAACTTCATCAGCATTCCTTCTAGCTATTGCCCTTACCCTTGGCGGAAGTTGATTAGGGAAAGGTCCTGGCAGATTATGGTTACTATTATTGTTAAAAAAAACTACTAATCTTTTTTACATCTGTTGTTCTTGAAATAAATATCCTTTTGTCTTCATCTGACCATATTATTTACTAGGTGTTTGAGGTTGGTTCATATTCCCCCTTTCGGTCTCCTGATCAGGGTTATGCCCT